GCCATACATGCCGTGCGCCGGGCATTTTGCCAGCGGGTAAGCATACACGAAAATAGTAGTAGCCTAAACTGCTACTGAATTGAACAAAAACAAGAATTTTGGTAACAATTCGACTTGAGGCATTGTAAAATGCAAACAAAAAATAGTATAAGTAGCATAAATACTACTAAAGCTAAGTAGTTAATACTACCAAATCCAAAAAGTAGTAGCATGAGAACTATTTTTCATGAATTTGCAAACAATTCGACAAGAAGCATGCAAACAGAGAATTGTATACATTTTAGTAGTAGCATATATACTAACTACTAACCTAAATAGTAGTAGCATAAAAAACTACTATACGGGAAATTTGCTATAGTTCAACCTACATAAGTCATTGAAATGTGTATAAATGAAATAGTAGTAGAACTTTAAGTAGTAGCAAAAATACTGCTAAACCTAAATAGTAGTAGAAGACAATGAACTATAAATGAAAAGGCTCACATTTCATCTTAAATACATGCTCGAAATACTAGGAGCAACAGTAGTTAGACTAAATTTAATGTGATGATATACTATATGCTAACAATTCGAGGCATTTTTTAATTAATCATAAAAGTCAACTTTCAACTCGTATCATTTCTATTGTTTACCCCTTTTTGTTAGCAAGGTCAAAACAATTTTCAGCTTTTGTGTGTTTGTTATTCTTGTGGGGTTTTTTCTTTTGGCCTGTCCCTTAATAAAAGTTAAGGGTATTCCACTTTAAAGTGCCCTCACGTATGTTGGAAAAAAGTTATGGTCAATCAGAACTTATGCCCAGAGCTCGTTATATTTGTAGCTCCCAGAGCTAGATGCTCTTGACCGTTTCTCTCCACTGTTGACCTTAAGTTTCTTCTTCGTTTTCATTGTGTTTGTAGCTTTGTCGTAGAATCGTCAAATTAGATTCAATTTGTTTTGCGTTCAACTTTTTGATTGTTTGTGGGTGAGAGTTTGGGGAAATTTCTTGAGCACTTGATGCAGGTGCTTGAGTGTTGATTGTGTTAAGAGGCTTGGAGCCTTTCAAATGCAGACAAAACCAATTAGAATACTTCAATTCTGAATGGTTAATAGTTGAAGTCAAATGCAGAACATTCGAAAGGGGCTGAGATAAAATGAGAATTCGATCAAAAAAAGCTAGATTAGCTTACATTGCAAATATTCATAAATAAACTCATATATTCATATACACATTCATATCATTATATAATTATATAAATGCATTCGTATTTAGGTATTCAGATTCAATCAACTATATACTCATATTATATTCATTTTAATATACCCATGCATTCATACCTGCACTCAGATATATTTTTACGTGCACTCATATATTCATATTACATAGATAAATAGATTCATACATTCATACAATGTATAGAACATTCATATATTCATAAACTCTTTCATGTCTATACATATACATTCATATATTCATATAAATACACTCATGTGTTTATTCATATCTATACACTTATGTAATTATTTACGAATACTAGATTTTATGTATATTACTGTATTCATATCTACAATCATATTCATTTTTAAATTTTCATATATAGTCAAATAAGGATTCATATATAAGATTCGTATATTCATATACATACATATATACAACATTGAGTGCTCATATTTGTTGTATGATCATTCGCAGATATACAGTACTCTATTCATAGATTCATTCATATATACACAGTATAATCCATTATATGATGCAATCTGATTAATCTTACAATAGCTTATGCTCATTCCATATGCAAATTTGTGATATGTGATAAGCGACATATTATTTAACATTTGTTTAACATTTGCGCGTTGGCAATTCGATGAATAAGTGACGATTAGATCGAAGTCAATCAAAAACTGAATGTTGAGTTCATCAATCATACGAAATGGCAGCGGGACCCGGCAGGATGATGTCTGGGCCAATATACAATATATATACATATATAGTAGTCAAGGACGTTACTTCGATACCTATTAAGTCATCAACAGGCCCAAGACAATTATGTAATACAACAATAACAACAACGAAGACTGGATGAAGAACTTAGGCTTAAGGCTGGCTGAAAAATACGAAAAAAAAAAAAAAAATCTGTTGGTAGGGAAAATCAATTTTAGATAGCAAAACACCGACAAAGTGGGAGAGTGGGAGAGAGAGAGAGCGCGTGTGTGAGGGAGAGAGTGAGAGCGTGGCAATAAAAGCGAACAAAAAGACAAGGAGTATGACGTTGATTTTTGGTGTGTGGAAAGGCAAAACTAAATGCCACCAAGTAGGCAATAACAATTTCGTGGATGACGGTTTGTTGCCTCTAGTTGTTGCTGTTGCTGTTGTTCTTCTTCTTTGCTGCTGTTGTTGTTGCCGCCTTTTTTTATGGCGTCCCTTGCCATGGCATCGCAATGGCTGGCGCCAGTCAGCCGGCAACGATGAGTCATGCCGCATGCCAATTGGAGCCGCATGCCGCATGCCGTATGCCGCATGCTTTGTTAACACGGCTGATGGTATTTCATTTTGTTGTGTTGCCGGCAGAAAAAGCAACTTCTTCTACTTCTACTTCTACTTCACGGCTTTCATCCTTTGTATTAATGCATATGGAATATGTCTGCATTACAACTGGACAAGGCAATTCAGTTATGCCAATGAATTTATTTATATTGTATTGGGCTATTAAAATGCAATAATCGAGGCAAACAAACGCACAGACGACTACGAAATGATTGCGCAATATGCACACGGGCCAACGAGCACAAGCACAAGCCGCACACACAAACAAACACACACACACACATACAATGTCGTTGACAGTGGAAGGCGTTTATTGATTTATTGACACAGGCACCTTACGTTAAAAAAGAGGAGGTAGAGAAAAAAGAAACACAATGGAAGCACGAGAAATACCCTGGCAAAGAATAGTGAAAAAAAAGCCATTCACTTATTAAACTGCCCTCGCAGAGTCATTTAAAAACAAACTAAATGCATATTTAAAATTAGAAAATATACCATATTCATTGCAAGGAAAGGATTATATAAAAATGAAAGAAAGATAAAGAATGAATTAATAAATGTTGAACTCTTTAGATCTTAATTAAAAATTTAACAAATAAAAGAGATCAGTTACTAATATTCTTTAATTGTTTACGATTTATCCAAGATTGTCAGAGTTAAAATACTAATATTCTGCTGCTTTATTCTTGTTTATGACTAAAAAATAATTATTGTACTAGAATTGGTTTAAAAAAAAAAAACATTAAATAAAATCGCGAATTGTTTGTGATCCATGTTTCAAAAAATGTTGATTGAGTGCAGAATTAGAGAATTATCATAATTTTTCTTAATAATCAAATATGAAGTACTATAAGAAAAGCTGAAGTAAAATTTAGGATTTTAAATGAATCATTGCAATTTAGAAACAGAGGGGAATATATTTCTGTATGTACTTTATTGTTTTGTTCGATTCACACCCCCCTTGAAGGTAGCCAGGCATACTCAACTTCATCCTCTGCTGGGGTACACAAGATAAGATGAGAGACAAACACCTGAGCAAATTACTTACATACGTTTTGCACAAGAAAAGCATTTAACTTCTTCAGCTGATTTACCTCACCATCTATCTAACCCTCCCAACCTCTCGACTCACTGCATATGGGCAATTTTTCAATTGACGAAGGTATTTTTCACAATTCCCCCCACCTTTTTGCAGCTATAAATCTTGCCGCGTAACTGTACCTAATTAAGAGTGTTGGATGGCGAGAAGGTTATAGAATAACAGCTCAATTTGCACTCGACACGTGTATAAAGATATAATAGACATTTCAAATGGGGTTTTACTAGTAAAAGTAAATGAGCTGGAAGTGCAGCTGGTGGAAAATTGATTGCCTTAGACCATATCTGTGGTACAATGAATGCGCGCTAAATAGCAGAAGAATTTCAAAGGAAAGGGTAAATAAAAGATATAGTATTTAGTAATAAATATATTTAACTATATGAGCAGAAGAATGAGATTTAATTTATAAATGATTGAGAGTAGAAAAATTCTGTAGTGATTTTTAAACACAAAGCATCATAACTGTTTCATAGGGATAGCTTCGTTGTTTTTTGTTTCTATTGCCTAACTGCGATATACGTTTACTTGTAATTATAGTAATTACAAACTCAAAGTCATTCGTTGAATACATTTTATCATTCCTTGCTGTTGCAAATAAAAGATTATCAATTTTAGTATTTTTTTTAAAGTATTTTTAGTTTGGTCCAGCTATAAGGATTTGGGCGGCATTTTAGAAATGCTCTCAATATTTTTTGTTAGTATTGCTCAACTACGATATACATTTTTTGTAATTACAAACTTAAATTCATTGGTTGAACACATTTTTCCATTTCTTGCTGTTCAAATATAAGATCAATTTTAGTATTTTTAGTATATTTTAGTATTGTTTGTTTGGTCTCATTGTTTTTTGTTACTATTACCCATCTACGAAATACCCCTACTTGTAATTAAAGTAATTACAAACTTAAGTTCATTTGTAGAATACATTTTAGTATTCCTTGCTGCAAATATAAGATGGTCAATTTTAGTATATTTTAGTATTTTTAGTATTTTTTGGTATTTTTGGTATTTTTGGTTTGGTCCAGCTATAAAGTTTTTGGCGGTATTTTAGGTAAAGCTCTTATTGTTTTTTGTTACTATTGCCCAACTACGAAATACTTTACTTGTAATTAATTATAGTAATTACAAACTTAAATTTACTTGTAGAATACATTTTACAGCATTCTTTGCTGCTGCAAATATAAGATTATCAATTTTAGTATTTTTTAGTATTTTTAGTTTAGTTCACCTATCAAGTTGTGAGCGGTACTTTAGGTAAAGTTTCTTTGTTTTTGTTACTATTGCCTATCTACGAAATATTCCTACTTGTGATTATAGTAAGCTCAAATTCATTCATTGAAACATGTTGCAAATATAAGATTAGAATTTTTCAGTATATCTAGTATTTTTTTAGTATTTTTTAGTATTTTTTATTTGGGTGGTATTTTAGGTAAAGCTCTCACTGTTTTTTCTTACTATTGCTCAACTACGTTATACCCCTACTTGTGATTATAGTAATTACAATTCAAATGTTAGCATTGCTGTTGCAAATATAAGATATATGAATTTTTAAGTATTTTTAGTATTTTTTAGTATTTTTATTATTGCTCTGCTATAAATTATTGAAATTATCGCAAATTGACAGGGAAACATGTCTCAATTAGCATTTGACACATGTCTAAATTAAGGCACATGCAGAACATGCACTACAGCGAGTCTTCCGTTTGTACGTGTGTGTGTGTGTGTGTGCATGTGGGGCATGGGTATGCATGGGGTAACATCTTGATTTCACAGAAATGGGAAGCTGCCCAGAAAGTCCACATCCAAACGTTTTGCCTTTGGCCCAAGGTTAAAGCTGAAACATGCTGGTTTTTAATTTGGCGCCACTAATTGTGAGTGCCGCTGCTCTGGGGCCAAACATGTCTCACTGCAACTACCTCGCCTCTCACTCACTCACCCTCTCATTCTCTCTCACTCTCTCTCGCTCTCTCTATGTCTATCTCTGTTTGCCACTCGAATGTGTGCTCTTTGTGTTTAGCCTCGCCTGGCCTGGGCTTGGGGTTTGTTTGGACTGTGTGGGGCTGACTTTGCTTTTCGGTTTTGCCAAATTAGATTTCCTAGCTACAAAATTGCAATTGAAAATGCTTTTTCCACTGCAGCTGCTGCAACGGAAGCGCTGCAAATTGTTTGAATCGGTGCTAAAATGTGGAATGTGTAAAGGGCTTGAAATGCTCGAGTAATGCTAAAGCCATTAAAGTGCTCACTTTGATTGCAAAAGCGCAGTTAAATGAAAAGAAAACTTTAATCAAAATGAAAATTGAATGTAAAATTAATTAACTACATTAGAATACAATAATTTCGACATAATATATACGATTATTATTAGTTAGATCTGAGCCCAAGGCATAAATCAATTAAGATGAATTGCGACTGCAACAGACAGACAGACATCAGCAGCAGCAGGCTGTAATGAAGTTGAGCCGAGGTCAATGTGAATATAATTTGATGCATCTTTCAGACAAATGGGCTCGACAGCTTGCGGCCAACTTGGGGCTGAGTGGTGCCAAGGCATTTCAGATGATGGATTAGACGAGTGCTTTAGGACCGCCCACAAAGCTAAACATGTGTTGTAAATGTCCACAAATTGCTTTGCTAAGAGAGGGAGGGAATGACAGAGAAAGCAAGAAAAAGAGAGAAGGAGGGGTGTGGGATTAGGAAACATTTGAACTGAAATTAACTAAGCAAATGTGCTTCATTTGCCAAAATGTTCGTGAACAGCTGCTGTGACAAAAACAAATTTGTTCTGCTGCATATATTAAGTTCTTATATTGCCACAGATACATTTATACATACATGTATGCAGAGTGTATATGCATTTATTTCTAATAATAAATGTACAAATGCTATCTAAAATTATAGGTCTTTAGCTTAGACTTAAAAGAGATTGAAATTAATTTTGGGAATTTAATAAAAAGCTATTGTGTTAGGCATAAATCCGAATTTTTTATTAATGCAAAAGTTAGGACTGCTAGAATAAAAAAGACAGAAAGAGAAAGAGAGTAGAAGATAGAAAGATTCGTGGTTGATCACATAAGGAATATATTAGCTTAATAAGATTGACATTTTTGCTTCAATCTAATAAACTACTTTGGCTGGAGACTTAATATATCAAATACATATTCCTCATCAACTTACGCAGCATAGGTTAAATATTTTTATCCAGTATCTCAACTCATTTCAATAAATATGGATATGTCTATATGAGCTCCAGGAGAAAATCCTGTTGAAACAAAATAATTTTTTGAAACAAAATTTGCAGCTAATCGATTTTAAGATTTGGGACCCTGTGTCGTTGCAAGTTTTTCAAATAGTTAATAGACTTGATTAACTGTTAAATTGCAAATTTAAAAATTGCCTTACTGAAAATATTAAGATATGCTAAAGTATATGACACGTTTGCTCTATAGAACCTTAATAGCCGCTGGCTAAGTTATATAAGACTCGTCTACATTTCGACGTGTATTTTTATTTTTTTTTTTTTTTTCATTTCCGACTTTGCGGCGCCAGCAAACAATCGACACGCTAACATAATACTCAAACCCTAACAAAACATTTTAATCATTATATTTGGCGTTACGACTTTTGGGTTGGAGTCTTGTAATTACCAAAACCAAAATCCAATAGGAGCAGCCCTCACTTAGACAGTTGCTGTGATCTAAATTGACTGAAAATTATAATATTTAAATACGTATACGGTATATTTCTCTACATATATACGTATGTAGGTATCTACTTACATACATATTTACATATGTACTCATACATCGTATATGCGTTGCGTGACTTTTACTTGACATGTAAAAAAAAAAAAAAAACCCAAAAACAAAATGGAAAGGAAAAAGGAAAATATTTGTCAGCCATTAACATTCTCGAGTTGTCCTTGAAATGATGTAAACGAGCAGCTCAAGTGGCGAGTGCGGAGCCTTAGAAATTATGCCTGACTTACCGATGTTTGTTTGTGTGTGTATGTCTGTATGTACGTTTGTGTAGATGCGAATGTAGTATTCAGGTAGTTCATTAGGGCCAAGCTGTTTGGGCTAAGCAAGGCGGAAATCCTACAGCCGTATCGAGAGGAAATGAAGAGCTTATTAAGATGGCGAGGCATCAGCAGCTTGAAAGCATTAATTTGTGGCTGGTTTCAGTGAATTAAGAAAAACATTGATACGAGGACAAATGGCATAATGTAGCCTTACATTGAATATTACGAAAGGGAGAGAGAGGGAGGATGAGAGGGATAACAGAGAAAAAACGACAGTAAGACTCAGGGTGATAGAGAGAGACAGTCAGATACGGATCTATATACCAATCGGCATAGTGAAGCTTTATACAGTATACAGCTTTTAGATAGAACCAACCCGCTAAAACTGTTTCAAATCAGGCATAACCAACTGCATAATACTCGCTAACTAAATTAAAGCAAACATTTCTATATGGCGATTTGCCACCATACAATCAACAGCCATAAAAAATAAAATTTTATCTATATATTATATATATCCATCTATATTTTTATCACCTTTATATACCCAACTACAAAAATATAGGAAAAATCGTTCAGCACCCACATAGTTGGGACCGTATATTTATATATGTAAATCCATGTTTTAAGTCTAAGTTTTCAAAAAAAAAAAAAAAAAAAAAAAAAAATACAAGATGAAGGATAACTTATATCCATCTGCCGAATTCTGTTTTTTTTTTAATACTAAGGAATATATAGGAAATATAATTTCGAATCGTATATTTCACTTACCAAATTTCGCTGAGAGTCTATAAAACCAATATGCTTTTTTTTATATGTCGATCGAGTATGTGGAAATGACAGTTAGTTGAACCGTTACTAATATCGGCCGCCCCATTATCTGTTGTTTATTTTTGAAAAGTTGTTTCTTTTCGTGTGCGGCATTTGATGCGCTGTCAAATTTGACAAAGCTGTGGCAACGCTTGAAACATCCATGTTCCTGCCTGTACAGTTGTTTTTCTTTTCGTTTTCATTTACCTGTGTATTTTCAGTTGCCAGAGGCAAACACCTTTTGTGTGTGCGCTGCTCTTGTATTTCAACAAAAATAGTCGAAAGTCATAAATAATGGCTGGACGGCCGAGAGTTTTATGGATGGTCCATGCTCTCTGGTCCCTGGTGTGTAATTTTCTCCTTTCAACTCATACATGAAAAAGGATTTTTTGCTTTTTAAACGGACAAAAATTCGTATGTGGGTGTATATATAAAAAGTTTAGCTATACAGTTTACTCGTGTGTTTATAAATGTTATGCTGGAAATTCGAGCACACAAAACAACTGAAATGACTTAGTGAGACTAATAGAGATGAAAAAGTATTTACCATTAGAATGAAACTTTCAGTATTAAAGTGCGAGTTCGAGAAAGTGAAAAAAGGGACAAACAGAAAAGTTGAAAAGTTGTTTAAGAAAAGTAGAAAAGAAAAAGCTACTAAAAAAACTAGAATGCTCTATTAGAGAAGACTGCTTGGACGTTACAATGGCACCTTAATTATTTAATTAATAAAGTTTTTAACTCAGAGCGTGATAGTGCCATCCTGATTTATGTAAATGCCACAGAAAATAGTATTTCATATGCTTTATTTATTTATTTATTTATATTATATATATACAAATATTTATTTATATATATATATATACAAATATATTATAATAAATATTATATGCTTTAATTATTTATTTATTTATTTATTAATATTATATATATACAAATATATTATAATAAATACATAAATTTATATGCAAATTAATGTTTGACAAAGTTAAAACTTAATACAATTTTTTTTTTTTTTCTACCAAACATGAAAGATTTAATAATATTTTTTACTGTAAATCTTTTATTTCTATTTTGTATTGATATAATTTAATCTCTGCTTTTATTTTACAAATAATTTTTTTCTGTACAAAGATTTGTGTTTTATATTGTTTTTTATTAGTAAGAGTTTTTTCTAACTTGGAATTTTAATAAATTTGTATGGAAAGACTAAATGAGTTGCTTGATATTTTATTTGATATTTGATTGGTATCATATTATGACAATAAACTGATTAGCCAAAATAAATTAAATATATATATTCATGCCAAAAAAAAACGCGAATATTTAAATTTAATTAAAGATATAATTTAAATGTAATTTATATGACTTCATAAATTAAAGTTTTTCATAGTCAGCTATCTCAATCTAAAACTCTACCTAAAATTCGATCTAAGAACTCAAAAACTTGATTAAAGTTTCTTGGCCAGCTAGCTAAGCAAATGCATATAACTCAGCCTGGCCTGAGCCTCAGCCAAGCTAATCAAATTTGCCCAGCTGGCAACTTCAGTTTGAGTTCTGGAGTGAAACGAGAAACAGCAGCGAGTGGCCAGAGGCTGGTCACAGCTGTGCGGCAGGAATGCCATGGAATGGATGAAAGGCGCTAGAACTATTTAGGCCAAGTTGTCACGTAGCCTGCGCATTTTTCCATATTATCCAGCATTGTTCCTTGCTCATTGGAGAAGGTTAGCTGGGCTTTCTTTTTCCGTTGTTTCTCGGGCTTTGTTTCTGCTCTTTTTCTTTTATCTGCATGTCTCTCACGTAACAGACGCATACATAACATTACTTAATTTTCATCCAGAGGCTAACAAATTAATGAAGTTGCATATTTTTGTCAAATTCTTGACTGAGAAAGAGAGGGTGACTGAGTGAGAGAGAGAGAGAGAAAAGGTCAACAAATTGGCTGACAGCTCAGCGTCTGTATGTGTCTTAAATATTTGAATGCGTGCGCAGTTGATAAAAAATTATAGTATATATTTATATATATATATGTGTGTGTGTGTCTGTGTATGTGCTTGTGCACATCTCTTGACAGGGCTCTGCCCAAAAGTCATCATCACTCAATGCGTCGCCTCCTGTCCATTTCGGGCTGTCTCTGTCTGTCCCGCCTGCCTGACAGCTCGCAGATAACGTGTGAAAAGCTTTTGGGCCTCATTATTTCAGCTGTTGCGTTCGTCCTTTTTATTTATTTTCCTTCTTCA